CACACAGATTCTCTGCACCTATTGAGAGTTGCTTTTTTTCAAGCTTTTCTATTTTTCATCACTTTCTACTGTTCCTATTTTCTATGCCCTGAATACCTCAATCCTCTCTGAAAAATATGTCGTTCAACTCACAGCGGGCAATTTAGACTAGGCACGTGAACATGTGTCATAAAAGTGATACGAAAGCCTCTAAACACTATTTTTATAGGTTTTCGTATGCGCTCTTTCCAATGGTGTGATTTACAAAGTTCAGAAACACTTTTAGTCGGATTTCCAAAGATCGGCTCCTTGGAAAATTCTGATAAAAACATCTTTGAACTTGTAAGTCACACCATTGGAAAGAGCGCATACGAAAACCTATAAAAATAGTGTTTAGAGGCTTTTGTATCACTTTTATGACACATGCTCAGTCTAAATTGCCCACTGTAAGTGAAACAATATATATTTCAGAGAGGATTGAGGTGTTCGGGGCTGGAGAACTAAGTTTCAAAAATATTTCCTCATTTTCAGCAATGTGCGGAAGTAAGAAATGAAAAATTTGATCGATGTTGATTTTACAATCAGTAATAGAAAAGCAATCATTTCTGATCAAAACAAAACAAATTCGATCGAAAACGCGTTTGTTTTGTTGAAGTTACGGGACTTTTACTAAAAGCACCGCTACACCCAGAATTTAATCATTATGATGTACTCGATAGAAACTTCGATAGTTCTACAGCCATGAAATGAAAAAGTTGTCAGAGGAGGATTTGTACTAATATCGCTTGCTCAGGAAAAAAACGTCAATTAACCGCGGTTAGCCGAGCATTTTGTGCCGGTTCGCGGTTAGTTGCGGTTAACCGGACGGGAAAGCGCACACTCAACTGTATGGTTAATCCAGGTTAATTAGTGGTTTTTTGCTGGTTTGATAAACATGGGATATGACCAGTAATGAACAACTTAGGCACGTTACTTTGTAGTATTTTCTTTCTAGAGAGTAAGTCTTTCAAGTTGTCCTCTGTAGTCTCACAATAGAATAGAGTCTAACTTTAAACCTAGATTAAAGTACATCGACGCAAAAATGCTTCTTTTCTAGCTAAAAACACTGTAATAAAATTGATAACAAACACATTTCAAGTTTCCCACGACTAATAAGTTAATGCCCTTTAGGTTTATCAAGCTATATTCTAATATATTGATTATTATTTGTTATAACAGTAGAATTTATCATTATCACACAGTCATTTTTCTACTTTTGTTCTCGAAGTTGAACAAATATCGTATTAAGGTCATGTTTCAGTTTAAACTGAATATTTGTTAGTTTTTCTTTTAGATTAGAAGGAATATTTTAAAATGAAATTGGCATTTTCGTTATTATTTGTAGTTTTAATCAGTGTTCTTGGTTTACAGGCAAAGAATTTACCTGAAGGAACGACCAATACCACAGTTCATGCTGGTAAGACTCACTTCGCTGCTGAGTTCTTCTTTCGAAAACGTACCACGTTTATATCGACGTTATCCCAACAGTTCGAGAGTAATAAGACTAGCACAACTCAAGTTTCTGATGACGAATGTCACTAAAAGATTTTAAAACAACGGCATCGTGGCCTTCTAGACCTGTGAATATGCCATTTCCCAGCCGAATAAACCTTTTCTGGGCATTTTCAGCATCTTTTATTGTAACACTTTCATGAGAAAACGATGATAATTCTCATCTGTATATCGTCCGTATTAAAATTTAAGTAATTTTTATCCTTGTACATATTAATAAGCCAGTGTTATGCATTTTTAGGTCAATGTCCAACGCCGCCATTTCATATACATTGTCGTCGTATGGTTTGTTTGCCTCAAATGATTGAAAAACTATGTAATGATGATTCAACATGTCGCACGAGTGAAAAGTGCTGTCACAAAATGTGTTCCTGCACAACAAAATGTTTGGAAGCTGTTAACGTTTAAATATAGTCATAAATTTTATGTAAGATTTTATGATTTCATAGAATAGCTTCTAAGAGAAGTGTTTTGAACTGCACGACCTCTAAAATAAAGAATGAAAATGCTCGATTTCTAAGCGATTAATTATTTTTAATGTGCGAATTACTTCTTTGTGGTAAAAGAAGAACACCTGTCTTCCAAAGACGTTTCTTTCCTCAGAGCTAAAGAAAATCGAAGGAAACACCATTGTTTTTCGTTGTGTTTCTAAACTTTTTTTTCTTGCAAACGCTTACTTTCCTGTTTTTTATAAAACATAAAAATTTGTCGCGTTTTGACAAGACTGTTGCCATAGAAAATTTGGCAATGGATATGACATAAAGAGATCAGTGTAGCATCTGCAAAAAGTGCCTATAAAACGTGCGTTTCGTGAATAAAAAAGTCAAGAAAATCATGCACTTGGGAAAACACCTTCAATAGAGATGCCTTATCGGACTGTGCACAAAATATAAGAAAATGACTGTCATAACCATTTCAGTGACAAATTACCCTGTTTAAAACATTTTACGTTTTTTGTGAGTTCCTCACATTTACCGCATAAAATATTCAAAACAATCATTCAAGATATGATTCATTTAAAACAGTCATCATTAGATATTTAACATCTGATAGTGGATGAGATATTAATGGATTGAAATTAATAACTCGATCAGATTTTCTTTTAATTATTGACTGTAAAAATAGTTATAATATTAATGATAGGTATCATTTCTTATCGACATTTCAACAAATTGATCACAATTGGAATATATACGGTGATATTGATGGATACCGTGGTTACATCAAATTACGTAATAATATTTATACATTTGCATTGTCAATAAAAAATGTCCATAATGAATAACAATGATGAAGACTTTCATGACGTAAGGTCGTTGAGTGTGTATGAGAAATTATCTTCTTAATAATGATCCATTATGGCCGAAAATATTCTTTAGTGACTTACTGTCATGGATGTCATTTCCCTCCTTCGCCATCTCTGTTGGAGTGAAAGTGCATACAAAGTGAATTCGGCTTCTTCCCTTGGTCCCAGCTCGTTTTTCATAACTAACATTGAAATACAGAAAATTCAGGCATACTAGGAAAAGCCGAAAAAACTTTGAATACATAACGCATAAAAACCAAAAATCTTCCATTTTCAAGTGCATCAATATATTTAATACACGAAAACATAAAACGGAATACAAAATGTGTTTGTATTCTTCAACCCGCGAACTGTAGTCAACATCAGAAGTACTCTGCACAATCAGCAGTCTCTTCAGGATATTCTGAGCTCGAAATGCACAATATGTTCTACACCAAGACCATAATCACACTGAAGAACATTGGCTACTTGACTCTTTAAGCTAAGAGACGCGCAATTTTGGTTTTATGCTCTGATTCAGGCTTGTAATTTGAAAGAAAACACTGTTATGTTTCTTGGGATTTGTCACCTGCTATTAGAGGATCCATCTCATGAAGGAACCTTCCCAGATATCCAACCGCTTTTCTAACGAAACGCGGTAGTTTATAGGTAATCGACCATGCTGATTCCGAGTATGATAGCCGTTTTTGTCCATACGCCTTTCCTAACCAGTTTCTGGGAAACTGATCTTCCAGAAACCTTGAAAAATCCCCAAGCGTTTTTCTAAATAAGTCACGACTGTAGCACGCGAAATTCTGATTAAAATGAGACATTTCCCAGCTCTACATGACCTTTCTTTGCAAAGTTATAGAATTTACAAGAAAAGCCCTAAATGTTTATTGTCACCTCAGAGCTACAGAAAGAAGAAGGTAAGATAAATTTTAGGGCTTTTCTTGTGAATTCTATAACTTTGCAAAGAAAGGTTATGTAGAGCAAGGAGATGTCCCAGTTTAATAGAATTTCGCTTAAATTTCGCAGAATTTCATTAAAAATGTGTCCACTACAAACTGTTTTTAAACAGTGCTTAAAAGCAAAAGTGAAGCGAGAGGACACACAATGCAAACTTACGAACAGATTTATGACACATGAACAAAGCTCAATGTTTCATATATTCACCCTAGTAACATTCCCACTTCATTTCGCGGCAAGAATGCAGCCTCATCTTGCCGCGATTTTGACAAGAAATTTGAAACTTAACGCGGGATCCATACCGCGATCGTACCTAATCTTGCTATTTTTCCCGTGTAACGAAAATTTGACAATCCTGACGCGAAAATTTTTTGACAGGATCGCGCTGAAATCCTGCAGAGAGATCCGGACAAGATCCCGGTATGATTAGAACAAGGTTGCAAGAAGGCTGAGAAAGCTTTCCTACCACTTATCCGATTGTCACTACCTTCTTTCAATGGTTTAATCTCTTTTCCACCAAATTTCATCATGTTTTACTCGGTATTTTCTTCGAGAACATGAAGTAATTAGAGATTTTCTCCTAGAACACCTTCAGAGTATATAGCAAGTTATTTTTTTTGTTTTGAATTATAAGCTCCATTTCATTTCAATGGCGCAAATTTGAACTATTATTAATTTGCTCATCTAAAGTGTGATATGGTTTTCGCCGGGGAGAAGTTTCATCAGATGTATCTTTAGCTTCTTCTCCATCGGTGTATTTTTCAGTGCTGATTCGAAACGTTACTGCCATTGGATCTCAGAATAGAAGTGAGAGGGACTGTCTCTGTGTTTCATCTGTGAGTTGTGCCCATAAGATAACGTTTGCCGTATGTGAAGAAAACATTCACTCTTGAACTTCCAGTGAATGTATATCTGTAGACACTTGACACTCGGATCAGGTCGTTGCTAGAGCCAATCTAGCGTCCTGTGATTGAGGTGCCCTGGCTGTGCCGCTATCCTCTGTGCATCAAACAGGATCGAAATGATCGTTGCTACATTCTGAAAGACTCAAACGGCAAAGTGATCTTACACCGAGGAAACCCACAATTTGTGATACTTCAACCTTGTGCATTTCTCTCACTGTTGTGACTTTTCATTCTGAGATCTCTGCAGTCAACACATTTAACTGAACCTACACACCGGAGAAGACTTTAGATTTGATGCATTATCCGGAAAAGAATATTCTTTTTCGATTCTAAAACTGTCAAGAAGAAAATAGTTCAACTTTGAGACAAAAAAATTAATTTTCCTCTCCGAATGCTCTTCTTTCTCGAAAATTACTGTGTACTTACTGATGACAATAGTCAAACAGTTAGTCCATTTCATTAACTACAACAAAACCCAAAAAACACTCGGAGAAAAGCACTCGTTGCACTGCGTTAAAAAGTTAAGAAATGACTATAATTGACGTGTATTGTATATCTATTACATATGTTAAAAGAGAACAAAGAATAAACACAGTGGACTATAATATACGCACATTGTCTGTCTGTTTTTCTTCTTCTACCGACGGATAAACGAAATAAAAAAATATTACATCGTTACAGACTGAGCTAAAGGAAAATACGAAGTCAGTGTGATACTAGTTTCGTGCAAAGATTGGTTCTGTACTTTGATAGTTTAAGGAACAGAATGGTATAATAATAAAAAATTTTCCTCAACTGTGGGCAAAGGAAAAATCTTCTCAAGATCTTGACTCGAATTAGACGCGATCTTGCTATAATGCTGCCACGATCCCGTCACAGTCTTGAAACACAAATGAAACGGGAACGCATAGCGAACTTGATCAAGAACGCGATTCCAATTATAAGATCGCGATTTTATTTTGTCAAGATCAGCGTTTTTTCGTTACAAGCGAAAAAATCGGGTTCGCGATCAGATCTCAGCAAGAATGGAACGGGAATATCACTAGGGCACGTACCAACTACGTAATCGTAATTCGATATTGCCTTTTCTTCTGTGTAATAATAATTAACTGGAATATACACTAGAGCTTTCTCTTTTTGCGTAAAAGGAAATAGAGCTCTTTATAATTACGAGGTATGGAATAGCAATAATAAGTATAATTAACATGCTCAACACCAGAACAGTTACACCCGTAATGGATGGTCAGCGTTGGATGTTGGAAAAAATATAAAAACAAATATGCTGCTGAACGAAAATCAAAATATTTGAAAGGAAATTAATAAACTAAAAAGAACTTTTGAAAAAATCAAAAATAATTATGAGCTGAATGAACGTGAGATATCGGGAGCAAGTGGACTTGAAGTGAAGTGAGCAAGCGCCCGAATGTGAATCCACAAGAAGTTTTTCGGGACCCCGACTTTTCAAAACTAAACCCGCTCCAAGCCCTAAGTACGGATTTCATATCTTTTATTATGGCTTCATCTTGTTTTATGTATTGAGATAGTAAATTTGATTGATAATTAGCCCACATTTCTGATCTTTCGTTTAATGGATTAAACGTTATTTCAATCTGTCTTCATAAATGCGATAGAGTCCTGCAGTTTAATCCGCGATTAATCCCGCAAGTTCAGTTAATCCCACGAGTTCGAGTTCGGAATCCCAGAAACTTTACGAGTTTGAGTTCATCTGAATGGGATCGGTTTTCTTCCAGATCCAGATTCTTCCAGTTTGATATAGAGGAAGATAAGAAACAATTCTAAATACATAAGAATATAAAACACAAGCGAAGCAGACAACTGTTTTGCATTAGTTATATAGCCGAACAATTGAATTTTCCTATTCTATCTCGACTAGTAGAGATTTAGTAACGTGCAAATGAAAGAAGGCACTACTTAACTGGAAAAAGTTTTTCGGATGCGGAGGGGCTTGGAGCGGGTTTAGTTTTGAAAAGTCGGGGTCCCGAAAAACTTCTTGTGGATTCACATTCGGGCGCTTGCTCACTTCACTTCAAGTCCACTTGCTCCCGATATCTCACGTTCATTCAGCTCATAATTATTTTTGATTTTTTCAAAAGTTCTTTTTAGTTTATTAATTTCCTTTCAAATATTTTGATTTTCGTTCAGCAGCATATTTGTTTTTATATTTTTTCCAACATCCAACGCTGACCATCCATTACGGGTGTAACTGTTCTGGTGTTGAGCATGTTAAT